GTACTCTCTCTCTCTCTCTCTCTCTGTGTGTGTGTGTGTGTGTGTGTGTGTGTGTGTGTGTATGAATGAGAAAAATGTTCAAGTTGTGGTCGGGGTGTTTAGGTCACTGATACAGTTTGGATCAAGTCCAAGTAAAGAAGTCATCATTAGTTATGCAGTCTTTCAAATAGTTGTAAATCATAGTTTAACACATGCAAGTCTATAATCCTGGCTGTAATGGAGTGAGCTAATGCTTACCAAGTTGGCTAATGTTTCCCCTTTCCCCCACAGAAATCCTACGAGCATTTGGCAAAAATAAGAATAGCAAGAGAAGCGCCTCCAGAGTGCAACTGCCCAGCAGGTAAACAGGAACAACTTTGAAATGTTTCCTTGGAGTCAGAGGATTTTGACTTTTTTTTTTAATCCTTTGTCTGTCAGACGTACATGTAATAACAACAAATATTAAATATAACATGGGGGACACAGCTTTTAATAAACAACTGAGCCTTTGAGAGAGAGAGAGGATAAAGCCCAAAATGTTACCCTGTTTCCATTGTGGGGTGGCATAAGATTAGAAAAAAATATTCATGAAAATAAAATTAGACCAGGAGATGCTTAAAAAGTGTAATCAAGCCCATGCATTAGCTTAATGAGAGGAAATATATTCCCTATATGCCTCTGGCTTTTTTGAAGAGGAGAATGCAGTATGTTAAGTACATGCAGCTTTAAACAGATTAAAAATAATTTTAGGGTTCCTTTTAAATCTGCCCTAGTGTACCTATGAATTTTTCAGTTATCTGTTTTTTTCTTCATCATGGATAATATGGTATTTTAGAAAGTGACTCGCATACTGTATATTATTTTAAGGAATGTGGACCCAATCCGAAGTCCTTACTCAGGCAGTACTCCCAAGAACTTCAGTGGGAATGTTGTCTGAGTAAGGATTTCAGAGTTGAGTTCTGTTGTGCTAGGATCAGTTGCTTGTAGACCCAAACAACAGTTTTATGTCCTTTCTGTGTTGTGTTCTCTACTACTTGTGGTCTGGTGCTGTTTTTTTAGATAACTGCTGAGGATTAATTTTATTTTATTTATTAGACTTCTGTTGATATATACAACAGACTATTTTGACTTCTCAGAAATTACAAAGATAATGCTGGTGTTCAGTAGGTGCTGTAGGGATACTGGCACACATTGTGTGTGATGGGGCACCATGGATGTACAGTATGCTCTAGATGTATTGTGTTGAGAAAAATGTCTCTTTATTTAAAAGATGAGGATGTTGACATGCATAGAGAGATGGAATATAAATATATGGAGATATACCTATCTCATAGGACTGGAAGGGACCCTGAAAGGTCATTAAGTCCAGCCCCCTGCCTTAACTAGCAGGACTAAGTACTGATTTTTTGCCCCAGATCCCTAAGTGGCCCCCTCAAGGATTGAACTCACAGCTCTGGGTTTAGCAGACTAATGCTCAAACCACTGAGCTATCCCTCCCCCTATAATGAGTCAATATTTGATGTGTGTTTTTTATAAATTATTTGTATGTCAGTAGGATGTGAGACCGCAAAGTAGGTATTTAAGGAAGGCGCTCTTCTAGTCAAGGGATTAACTCATGACAAACTCATCAACTTTAGGGGATTACTGAACCTCAGGGATGAAACTCCGTGTAACGTTGGTATAGTATTTTGCTGATAATGCAATGATAGTACTTTTTTTTTTACTATCCTATATGGAAATCTTAGCAACTAGCATGAAACGGGGCATATGAATGTTGGAATATGACTAATTTCAGTAAGAAATATTATCAAATTGGGGGGTGAAGTGGGGAAAGCAATAGTAATTTTATCAACCCCAAAAAATTAGTCGTGCATACAGCCTGGATTTGATATTCCTAATGCCTAACTATAGAAAGATTGATGAAGTTCAAGATTTAGCACTAAAGAATAGTGTTATGCTTATACACAGAGATGTATTCCATGATCCTGAACCATCAAACAGTTTTCTCTTTTCATGTTAACTCTTTTAAATTAATCTTGTCACTTTCCAAATATTCTATTTTCAGGCTCAGGATATCCTCTGCCATTGTCTCATTTGGTGTTATGTGCTGCTTTACTTCCTTACTACCACTAGAGCTCCACATAATACCAGTTTTTACCTGAATGTACTTTATTTTTTGCAATACATTCCATTATATTGTATCAAACAGATTGCAAGCACTAGAATATTTCCAACAATCCTCACTAGAAGGCATGGCATAAATCAGATGGCATAAGTCAAAATACAATATGTTGGGAAGCATATTTCATGTTGGGTAATGTAGATCTATCAGATTAAGATAATATGAACTGGCAACAATTATTTTACAAAGAGGACTAGCTGGTCAGAGGGTTAGTAATAAGATACAGAGCTTTTCACCTCTTTGTAACTATTTCAGTTTGGAGGCAGGTTTATAGTGATTGAAAGTTAGCACCATGTGATGGCTACATTTTGGACTATTTAAAATGATTTGATTCTCTCATCTGCATTCCCAGTGGATGGTTGTCCACATCAAAATGACATTGTTTTGGCAGTCTCAGCACAGAGGACAAGGACTGAATAGACACAAAGGCAAAACAACTGTGCCTTAGCAACTGTAGAAGGTGCTTCTGCTAGTCAGGGTTGAAGCCGAGTAGAAAAGTGGGGGAGAGTAGTGTACTGCTGTTGCCCACGTGGTATTTGTTCTATGTATAAAGAAGTATTTCTTCACCCAGGCAGCCAATATACTTTTCACATGCACTAAATTGTCTTTTTAAAGTAAAATCTTTAGAGGAATTGACTAATTTTCAGTTAGGATTGGTCTTTAACTCTCCATGAAGGCTTTCTTTGGGGAAAATATATATATAACATTTCCATTACAAACTTGAAACTCTCTATTCAGGGAAGTGTTTGGCTTAGCAGGAATGGAATCATGGAAACTCAGTGGGCTTCTGTGGCTTGGCACCTGCAGAGCCTAATCCTGATTCAGAAGAGTAAATAGTGTCTTTACCACAACTGCACAATCCCCTTTTGCTGTTCTGCTTAGTCCCCTCAATTCCTAACTAGGTCTACATAGTAGTAAGATATACGAATATTAGATCTGACTTTAAGGAGAACTTCACAGGACATGCAGAGGCGGTCCTTTAACACCAATACTCTAGGAGCAAGACAGCTGCCAAGTGGCCACCAAGATAGTCTTCCAGCGTTCTGCGTCTTAAAGAGAAATGAAGATTATTTAAAAGTAGGTTATATCATCCTCTATCAAAGTGAGAGAGGGAAATTCAATCTGCAGAGAAAAGGGGTGAGAATCTGATCTCTGACTTGTTATTAAACTTCTGCAACTGATGTAGATCTCATTAGCTTGAGTTATTCATCCCCTTGTGGTTGTCCATGATAGGAACTCACATGTTCAAAGGAAAATGGGTTTTGAATAGCTTGGACACTGAGGGAAGCCAGATTCTCAACTTTCATAATTTGAAAGGCCATACTTGTGTGGATCCTTTTAGCCAAATGGGGGGCTTAATCTTCTTGTCTAGAATAAATAGTGCTTTGTTTTCTCTTCTAAAAACTGGACAGTTACACTAAACATGTTTTTCTAATTATGCTTTTTTTATTAGTAAAAAGCTACACAATGAAAAGCTTGTTTAACATCAGGGACATTAATGTTTTGATTTCAATTATGTGGGGCTAAAACCAGGCACTGAAAACAGGTAAATTCAATAATGTTTACAGAATTTTCAAATGACAGTAGTAGGCATTCCTTCCCCTCACAAATCAGAACAATAAAGTTTGAAATCTAAATGCATACTAACATTCCTCTTTAATTACCTCAGACATAATGAGTGAGCCAGTTTAACCCTACTGTTGCAACTAGCACTACAGTAAATTCTGGCAAGGTGCCCTCCACCCAGGGGACTGGGAAACAAACTGGGTCTCTAAACGTTACATAATTTACTTTTCATAGGTTCTTTTGCCCTAGCAGGCAGTGGTACTGGAGCTGGGGGTGCTGCTGCACCCCCTCGCTTGAAGTAGAAATAACAAACACCAAATATATGGTTTCCATCACCAGCACCCCCACTATAAAAATTGTTCCAGTGCCCATGCTAGCAGGACACTTTTTTTTTATTAGATATTATCTATTTCCCAATTGTTAGGAATCTTTTAAAAAATCAGTGTATCTGTAAAAAATTCAGTATGTTGACATGTAATACAATGCACAGTCAACCTGTGGAACTCTTTGCCAGAGGATGCTGTCATCATATTCAGCAAAGCACTTAAGTCTGTATACCCTTACTCATGTTGACTAGTGCCTTACTCCATGAGTTGTCTTCAGTGAGACTACTTGTGGAGTAAGATGCTACTTGGCATATGTAAGAGTGTCATAGTATCAGCGTAAGATTATCAGAATCTGGCCCTAAATAGTATTACTGATTTAAGTGAAAGTAGGAATTGTCTGATGGCACTTGTACAAGAAAGTAGTCTGACACAAGAATAACACTGAATTAAAACGCTAAAAGTGTCTGTGGGAGAAAAAAGTTTTTATGGTTAACCTCCACTTTCTGAGGGTTACTGGTAGATTGAAGGGAAGCTGAAAAATGTAAAAACACAGGATGAGTCAGTCTTAGCTGGGTACTGCAGCTCGGTATGTGATGGCTAAACATAGCAACGTTACAAACAGCTTTTATATAACATAGTGGGTGAAATTCCGTGCAGTTGTTTAATGTTCCTATAGCATTTTAAAAATATCGTATTAGCCTTCAAAATGCAAGTGTGGTACACCCATTTCTGAGGCAGGTACAGTTTCTTTCTTTCATGGTGAAACAACATCAGCTTTTCCAAAATTGATCTTGCTATTTTTAGCCTACAATTTTTTTAACCTGTCTGATTTAAAAAAAATCAAACTGCAGCAAGTAGTATGGTTATAATGGAATCATTAACAGTAAATGAACATAAGAAAACCTAAAAATCAAGATAAATAGGAATTTTTTTATATGAAATGTGTCATACATCCTTGTAAGTGTTAGATTGTGCATTCCATATGCATGACAGTGAGCACTTACATGAGTTGTCCCATACAGCAGGGATTAATTTGGCCCTATCCATTTTATTAAGAGTGTCCTTCAAAAGTCTTGGAGCTATCATTAAATTTTACTGCACGTGCTCAGTTTGGCTAACAGTCACTGAAAAATATTTAACTTAAACTTCCAAGAAAGACCTGAATAAATGTGTCATTTTTTTACTTAGCCCTTGTTTTACAATATTGTACAAATGAGACTTGGCTACGCAGTCTAGTCCCGAATGTCTGTGTGCCCTTTATCTGTTTAATTCTGCACTGTCAAAAGG